AAAAAAAAAAAAAAATCAACAAAATAAATCCCAACCACGTGGCCTGTTTTTATTTGGAAAACAGAGCTCTGGAACGGAATTTGAAGGTTGGAATCACTTCAAACTTCTCCATGGAGTAAAATCCAAGGTGTCCTCAGATCATCCGTGAGAGTCTGAGCCCCCCTGTCCCTCTAGGCAATTCAAATCAGATTAAAGAATTACTGAAGAACAAAATAAATCAAAAACAAAATAAATAAATAAAATAAATCAACAAAATAAATCAACAAAATAAATAAAATAAATAAATAAATAAATAAATAAATAAAATAAATTAAAAAAATGAACAAAATAAATGAACAAAATAAATGAACAAAATAAATAAACCAAATAAATCAAAAAAATAAATAAATAAAATAAATCAACAAAATAAATTAAATAAATAAATAAATAAATCAACAAAATAAGCAAACAAAATAAATCAACAAAATAAACAAAATAAATCAACAAAATAAATCAACAAAATAAATAATCAAAAAAAAAAAAAATCAACAAAATAAATCCCCAACCACGTGGCCTGTTTTTATTTGGAAAACAGAGCTCTGGAACGGAATTTGAAGGTTGGAATCCCTTCTCCACGGAGTAAAATCCAAGGTGTCGGTGGTCCCCGTCCAGCTGTTCCCCCCAAAACCAGCTGTAGTGATGCTCGCTGTCTCCTCCTCGTGTTTTATACTGAAACTTTTTCCCACCCCTCCCAACACAGGTGGTTGTCAACGCCTTGGTTGGCGCTATCCCTTCCATTATGAATGTCTTGTTGGTCTGCCTTATCTTCTGGCTGATTTTCAGCATTATGGGGGTTAACCTGTTTGCCGGGAAATATCATTACTGCTTTAATGAAACAGCTGAGCATCGCTTTGAGATAGATGTTGTTAACAACAAGACTGACTGCGAAGCTCTGATGCCTCCCAACTCCACGGAGATCCGCTGGAAGAATGTGAAAATTAACTTTGACAACGTTGGGGCGGGATACCTGGCTCTGCTGCAGGTGGTGAGTTTGCTTTGATGTGGAGTTCTTCTCTCTGAAATAACGGTGTTAGTGTTCAGGGACTCACAGAATCCTGGGTGATTAGAGGAAGGTGCTATATTTATATTTATATTTTTATTTTTATTTTTTATATTTATTTATTTTTATTTTTATGTTTACTTTTTATTTTTATTTTTATTTTTTATATTTATTTTTATTTTTATTTTTTATATTTATATTTTTAATTTTATTTTTTATATTTTTATTTTTATTTTTATTTTTAATATATTATTATATATTTATATATATATAATATATATTATTATTATTATATATATTATATATATTATATATATATTTAATTTTACTTTATATTTTTATATTTATATTTATATATATTTATATATATTTTTATATATTTATTTTTTGGGTTTATATATTTATATTTATATTTATATATATTTATATATATTTTTATATATTTATTTTTGGTTTATAAATTTATATTTATATTTATATTTATATATATTTCTATTTCTTTTTTGGGGTTTATATATTAATATTTATATTTATATATATTTATTTTTATTTTTATATATTTATATTTATATATATATTTATATATATTTATTTTTTATTTTATATATTTATGTTTATATTTTATATATTGGTATATTTATATTTATATATTTATATATATTTATTTTTATTTCATATAATTATATTTTTACATATTAATACTTATTTATTATTTATTTATTATTTTATTTTTATATATTTATATTTTATATATTGATATATTTACATTTTTATTTATATTTATATATTTTTTCTTTTTCTTTTTCTATTTATATTTACATATTTATTTTTATTATGTTTATATTTATTTTTATTTTTATTCTTATATTTATTTTTATTATATTCATATTTATTTTTATATTTATTTTTCTATTTTATATGTATTTAAATTTATATTTAAAAATAAAAAAAAAATATTAAATAAAAAATAAAAAAAATATTAAATAAAAAATAGATTTATTAAATAAAAAAATTGATTTATCAACTGAAAAAAATACATTTATGAAATGAAAAAACATGAAATGAAAAGAGAAATATTTAAATAATAGTAAAGTTTATTACACAGGACCATCAGGAGTCCCAATTCAGGTTCATTTTCATATTTTGGGTGAATTCTTCCTTTTCTTTGCCAGGCTACATTCAAGGGCTGGATGGACATCATGTACGCAGCTGTTGATTCCAGAAAGGTACAAAAAAACCCCAAAAACTCCCCTCCCTTT